AGCACTCCCACATTCACTTTTTTAGGGAAATCATTGGGTGTATTGACTATCACTTCTTATGAAAGAATGATTTTAGAGTTTCTATGAAGACTTTGTCATCTCTTCTTCTTTCCCAAAAGGATTGACTTGGGCAGCAACTAAAGTTTTAATCAAAGCAGTTAGATACTTCATACAATCCTTCAAAGTAGTTACTTCTTTATGGAGTTCAAAGATCTCTTTCTTGATGTTTTCCATCTTCTCTTAGTACGAGTGTTGCACTAACGTGATAACTTGACTTCTGAAGACGAAAAGCAGAGGATAAGATTCCAGGAAACTCTCGAAATCAAGAAAGAAGTGAGAATGATGCATGCTATGCAATGCAAATGATTGTTTAAAAGTTTTAAAACCATGTTTTCAAAGAACTTTGGAACATTATAAACAAATTGAAAACATTAATCAAAACACACAATTTGTACAACTGAAGAAAAAAAATTCATTTCATTAATATTGGAAGGGTTACATTCGAAGTACAAAACTTCACTAATCCTACACAGAAGAAAGGGAAAGTTAAATCCTCAGGTCCAAATGAACTGCATCCAAAGAAGATCCAACACCGAGTTGTAACATCCTGAGCTTGAATTTGGAATTCCAAAGGAAAATAAATCCCCTTGCATTATTCTCTTTTACCTTGCTGATAATCGGGAAAATAAATCACCGATGCAAAGAATTGAGGAACTGGAATAAAGTCGTGGAGAAATCCATCTTCAAGACAGCTAGGAGAATTTGAGATTCCAAGGAATAAATACCAAGGATTCAGGATTTCTCAATTCTTCTGAATTAGGACTCTTGACATTGTACTTCTGAGTACTTTTTCCAAAATCCATAATTATAAAACTTGTGATGTTTGCAAACAAAAGTCTTAAGTTCCTTGAAAATTTGGTCAAAACAATGCTCATGGGTGCATGAATGCATGATGCAACAATTACACACAAGATCACAAACACGGGGGGTTCATAAGTTCGACATCACTAGCATGAAGTCAAAGGTACTACCCACGTGGTATGGACTAATAGTTTATCAACTTCCGAACAAGGTTCTAAAAGGTTCCTAGAGTCTACATCCTTCCTTCGGATATTACCAACATCCTGATTAACTCGGTAATTAGTAATATTCTTAGGAAAAACTCATCTGAGTGTAGCATCGTGTGACAACCATTTACAGATTACTCCATCATATTTTCCGCACTACACCTAAAAGGAAAAGATGGGTTAAGGGTTATACGGTCCTCAGCTTCAGCAGGCTCCCAGGTTGAAAACAACATGTCTTCCCGATTACTCGATAAATAATACTATAGTCAAAGGGACCTCCACTGAGTGGGGGATCTCATGTCTCTTTTTTGGGATTACTCCATCAAAGTTAACATGACTATACCGCCCGTATTATCTTAAGTTTGCCCAAGTCCAGGTATAGGACTTATGGGAAATCACCAAGCACCCTAAAAACTAGGAAAATCCTGATAAACATATATACAACACATAATATACAATAAATAATGGCACATACACAAATAAACAAAGATAGGCTCAACCCACTTAGAGATGGACCAACATTTGGTCGATCTGTCCCCAGTGAAGTCACCATTTTTTTTGTAGCCGTACAAATGTTGAGAATAAGCCATTGGATTGACTTAACTCGCACAGATCAAATAAAATTTGCCATCGCATTTTATTGTTTCCAGAGGAATGGGAAAAGAAAGAATAACCCAAAAGAGGGGGGAAAGAATCTAGGTACGGGGGTTGGTTATGCAAAGAGAAGGTATTACCACCCGAAACATCTATGGTACTCCGCATGAACCTCTTTGAAAATTTGTGTATTTTGGCTATAAGTGTTGTATATAAAAATAGATGGTGGAGATGAGAAAATAAATAGTTTTTACAATTTTTGCACCCTCTGCGGTTGCGAACCTTTAATGCTTACGTACCACCTTCCGTGCAATAGGGGATCAGGGTACTCGTAGTTCACCTTTAAAAATTTTAAAACAAAAACGTGTTGGTTAATTTTAAAAGATGAGACATCATTGTCATATTCGAGTGGAAGAACATACTTACTACCCATGATTATGAGAAAGGAGAATTTGCGTCATCTCAAAGTTGAGGATATGGCTTGGATTTTAAAATCAACAAAGCCTCACTCAACACTAAAGTGCAAAATATCTCACTTCACTACATATCGAAGAAGTATAGTAGCTCACATCACTACAAGGATTTACAAGAGTCTAATCTTTTGAGAGAGAAATTTAAGGTAAAAGACAATGGAAAAAATGGTTTGAATGAGATTGATTGAATTTTAGTCTTCACACAAAAATATCACGGTATTATTAAGTTGTTTAAAGTCTGATTTAGAAAATATTTTTGAAAATGCATGCTAAGTCCAAGTTTATTGTGAAAGCGGTTCAAGTTTAAAAACAAGAAGAGTTTTCAAAAGGAGGGAGAAGATTTTTGAAATTAAAGAAGATGGGAGGAGATGAAGGGACTATCCTAAAGCATAAGATAAATGATAGGGAAAAGAACCGTCTAACCAATAAGAAGCCAACACTTGACACAATGAGTCAATGTAGAATTCTCATCCTTTAGATTGAGACCACGAGCAAAGATAATAAACCTCTTAAGAATACCAAACTTCAAATGCATTATGTATTCACAAAAATTGGGCAGAGTAGCGGTTGTATACATATGAATTCTCAATCATAGACAAATTATATAATCATAATAACCTGCAACAAAGAAAACAAACAACCCAATATCTCGGGGTAAACCCCCAGGAACTCCAGACAAAATAATAGTAGAAGTCACAAGGTCCCAAGGGTAGTCAAGGTCTCTAATCCTAAGTCCAATAAGTCCATAACTCCATAATGCCAATGATAGTAACCAAATAGTCTAAGTAACATTAAAGCTTTTTATTGTCCAAGTTGGTTATTAGGTATCTTCAAAAAGAAAATGAAAGCTCAAGTGAGCAAAATGACATAAAGATAAATGCTCAAATGATAAAAGATGAAAATAGCATGAAATGAAAATGCTAAAATAAATGGTGTGTAAAGTAAAGGCGTAAAGTAAAAGCATGAAAAGAAAAGTAAATTATTAATGAGTTAGAAATTATAGGTTAGTTGAATGACCATTTTGAATCTTGCATTTGAAAACTCATTAGAAGATTGATAAAATCAAAGCCTCTCAATAATAAGTTTCATTTGCTTTTTGTCAAGTATATCATTCATTTCAAAATCTCGAGACAACAACAAATGATCAATGATGTTTAAATGATTCACTTAAACCAAAGTTTTTGAAGATTCATTAGAGGATTGATAAGACCAAAGCCTCCTAACAATGAATCTCAAGATTATTGGATCAAAGGCTTCAAATTAAACATACTTGGGCTTGCAAACATAGGTTTGGGCCACGGATAATCATTTCTCGAATCAGGACAAAATTTAGCACAATGTAAAGAAATCGTAAATGGACTTATATAGAAGTCGCACCTATTTTGAGGTCAGTCAATGGCAATCTAAGTAACATATGTTTGGAGAGATTATATGTAGATCATCCTCTAACGACATATAACACAAATCAGAATAAGAAAAGGGGGGAAGATAAACAAGAATAAAATTCTACATTTGAACCAAAGAATTTAATCAAGATATCTTTAAAATCATTCATCCATTTTAGTGGAGTTAAACTCAACACCCAAGATCCAATCATGTTAATAAAGCTCATGATTAAAATTCACATAGTCTAAGATTAGCCAGAATATAGACAAAAACAAAATTTGCATTCAAAAATCAAAATAGAATGAGAAAATTGTTTTTTAAATTGTTTTTTTAAATGAAAATCAAAGGCAAATTAACAAACCATATTCATATTGTCAAAGAAAAATTAAAACATACCATATAAAAGTCAGAAATGATCTCAAATATTTTTACAAAATATTTGATAATTTTCTAAAACAGAAAAGTATTTTTGAGCTAATTAAAATCACTCAAATAAGTGAAAAATAATTAAAAATAGAAAAATCAAAATTAAATTCCAAAATATTACACTAAGTCAGAAATGAGGGAAATGAATTTTGGGAAGTTTTTCAGAATTTTTGGGCGAAAAATGCATTTATAATGAATTTTTTAAGTTAAAATGAATTAAAATAAAAGAAAACAATGCAAAAATAATTGTGTACCATCAAATCTGGTCAACTGGCAAAAATATACAGATCCAGTGGTCCAGAATGCAGGTACATGATAAGAAGTGTATGGATTCGCCCATAAAATCAAATATCAACATCATCTTCTCAGGCGAAACAAGTGGCAGAGAGACCACTTGTCCTCCCTACAGACATTGCATGGATCTCAAGGAAAAGGAGAGAGAGGAATCATAAAAAAATGCAGCAATATGTTGTCACGGTTAACCAAAAGGCACAAAAAAATTTATTTTCATTCTCAAAAAAAAGGAAATTAATACCCCCTCTCTCTCATATCCTCCCACGCCTCTCTCTCTTAATAAATCAATCCAACCTCTCTGTCTTATCAATATAATAATACTCAACATCTTTTTCTCTTCTCAAAACATCATCATCACGATTTTTTAAGACAATACCATCACCTTTTTTCTATCAAAACAATATCATCATCTCTTAAATAAAACAAAGGAAGAAAGGAAAAAAACATGGTGGACGGAGCGAAAAGAAAGAGGTCGTAGCAGAAGAGGGCTACTCACTGAGGTTTCCGGTGACGGCTCCCAGACTGAACAAGCTCGTTTCTGTATGGTAGTAAATCAGAGATGAGGTTTCACGATTCGGTGTGTCTCTCGGGTGAATAGAAAAGCTGGTGAAGGTTGACGATAGTTAGCTGACATAGCAAATTCTGGCAAGTTTGAGAGGTGGTGCTCCGGCCACGGCTAGAGGAATGATTTTGGAGAAGCATATTTCCGGTGCGGTTTTGGGGTCAGGAGAGGCGGAGGTATCTCAGTCACGGCTGCCCGATGAAGTTTTTCGGTGAACATAAGGAGTTTCTGGAGAGGTCAGGCGATTTCCAGCAAAGGTTTTCCGGTTCAGGTGAGTATTGTTTTCGGTTTTCTTTTGATTGTGAGCTTCTGAATTTCTCAGTTTGTCCGTGAATCCCCCTTTTCTGTGCGAATTAATGCTTATATAATGAGATTAAATTAGGAATTCACTTGACTGCCTTATGATTTCCGATTAACAGGTCTTTGTTGATTCGCGTGGGTTTGAATCGGTGGTCCTGACTTGTTATTTTTATGATATGTTTGTACTTGTTACTGCACTAACTGTGATTTTGTTTTTGCTATTGGGCTGAGCTGTGATATTTCTGTACTATGCGATTTTGTACTGCTTTGGGCTGAGCTGTGATATTTCCGTACTATGATGTGTTGCTAGAGTTTGTACTTTTTTACTCTTCGTTCCTCCCTTTGTGAACCAAAAACAATTTTTTTTTTGTGATTCGCAATGAGAGTTGTGGGCCTATGATTTGTAATTCTGATTTTGAAATGAACAAATATGAGGCTTTGAATGTTGGGCTGGGCTGTCGCGATTCTGACTTCGCTTTTACTTCCGATACCATGATGCATGTTTTTGAACTCGTAGAAAATTTCCTTTTCAACCTCTATTGTGAACCAAAGATTGGATTTGTGATTTGTAATAGAGGTCATGGGCCAATGATTAAACCAAGATTCTGATTTATGCAACAAATGAGGCCTTAAACATGCCATTCAATTCTTGCTAGCTTGTGTGAATTTTGCTGTTTTTGACTGAATTGATATGCTAACATACCAACTTTTTTCTTTTCATGTGTCATAAACAATGCTTTAGACATGATATGGAAAATATGGAGAAGCAAACATGTCAAAGCTTGGATTTTGGCACGGAGGATTAAACTTGTTGTACCCCAAAATTTTCCCTCTCCTTTTACTCAATACATGCCCATTGAGATCCTCAATTTGCTCAGGGTTGCCCAAGAGTTCACCAGACAAACTCTCTCCTAAGGCAGTGTGTCTCAAATTAGGGTTTCCATTTTTATCAAGATAGGTGGACTCCAAAGGTCTCATATGCTCTCCATGGTCCTAATATGATCTCCAGACCCTCCATGTCAAGTTTCATACCTTGTACAAGAAGTTTGCTCAGTCAATTGCTCAGATGCTTGAGAATTGACTGTATTAGGTCAAAAGTCAATTGTGACCCACATACAGTCAAACTTTAAGATTTTTGGTCAACATAAACATTTTGAAGTGACTTTCATCATTTGATAAAGGGTTGATCATGATTCCCCAAGGAATGCTCCTAATTTATCAAAACTCAAAAGTTGCTAAATTAGGGTTTCTCAATAAAAGTCAACCAAACTTTGACCAAGCATAACATGCACATGTTTATCCGAAATTTTACATCCAAGCCTCATTTTTAAGAGGATGCAATTCCATACAACTCATCTTCAGCCCACAAGTTCAAAATATGCACTCATAAAAAGATATGCATTTTTACATTATGGATCCTTTTGAAAAGTTAACAAAAACACCTTTTGGGTCAAAGCTTCTTACATGAACATGGAAGACTCAATTGAGATGAGACCAAAAAGGTTTCTTAGGGGACATCCTAATATTTCTAAAAAGTCCAAGAACACCTCTCTAGGGTTAACATTGAAGGAGATATGCCTTGTCAAAGTTGACATTTTTTGCAAAATTGCCAAAAGTCAAATGTGCTCAAAAATGCATTTTTTTACTAAATAGGCCTAACTTTTTATGATTGCACCTCACTTATAATGTGGTTCGTGACCCAAATATTCACCCACACATTATTTGCTTCATTTGTCAATTTTTTTTTATTTTTAATTAATTAAAAATTGAATTAAATCAAATAATTGGTGAATAATAGCAAAGATATGATTTGATTTGGTTTTTGGACAGGTTGACAATCAAAATATGCTGAGTTATCAAGACCAAAACAAATCAAGCATAATTGATACAAGAAAGGGATGATTTGGCTCAAAATAGCAAGTTTACATGTAGCATGAAAATCAAATCAAATCTCTCAAAATTGCAAAGATTCAATTCAAGTTCACAACACTAATTCATTCCTAGATATATATTGGACATGTACAAAGCATAAAACAAGGTTTTGCATGCGTGAAAAGGAAGTACAAAGCTTGAATTTTTCAAAGAAAAGTGCACATCCAATCTTGCTCCATAGTCCATTTCAAGCGTTTCTAAAGATCAAGTCATCTCCTTAGGTACTCACCAAACCTATAACAAGCATTTGCAAGGCCTGAAACATCCAGAAACGCACGCAATCACTCCCACGGCTTGCTTATTTTTTCCAAATTAATTATTAAATTTCTTGCATCATTAGCATATTTAAATGATATATTTGTGATCATAATTGTGTTTGCAACCTGACTGGATGATTTAATTGTGTTTTTGACGCATATACGTGCATTTGCCATTATTAGGGTTTTCGTGTGCGTTTTAGGGGTTTGTAACACAGGTTAAATTGGGCCAAAATAAAAACACAATGATGTTCACGAGATCAAGATGAATTGATCCACTTAACTGGAAGTAATTTATTTTAACTGTCTAGATGTATGCTAATAGGATTGTACGGCAAGAGTATCTTGAAATTAAAATGGTAGATCACCTAATGTGAAATGATTAAATAACTGAAACAATTCATATGCACACATTCACTCCTAGGGTTTACCCCACTTCGGTTGCCTTCAGTAAAACATTCATTAAGCATAGGAGATTTTAGTGGTTACCCTCCAGTCTAAAAGATCAAAATGTCCCATTCGAATGTTGCCTCGGAAATGATGTCTCGGAAATGTTGCCTCGAAAATGTTGCCTCATAAAGATATTAGGACTCTAGGGTTACTACTAAAGTTTTCTAATTGTTGCTTTAGTGATTCTACTTGTCCCTTTCGAATGTCCCTTACAAACTCCAACGACGGTGCTACCTACTCCTTAATAGTAGGGTAGCGCTGTCTAAAGGAAACGAGAATGAACAATCTTTTTTCGAGTAGGTAGAATCTTAAGTAATTTCTCAACCAAAAACTTTTCACAAACACCTTTCAAAATAAATTTTCAGAACAAACTTCGTCACATCCTTGAGGACTGATACAAGGGTTATCACGAAGTAAAATATTTTCAAAACAAACACACACAAGTAATTTGAAAAATGAGCAAGTACCTAAGAGCTCATGGAAAACCATGGATAGAAAGGGTGCTAACACCTTCCCTTTCTATAATCTACCCCCCGTACTCAAAATATCTCGAAAAAAGGTTTTTTTTGTTCTTTTTCCTTTTTCCATGATTGGATGAAATAAAAGTCGGTGGCGACTCTAGCTTACCACGACATTTTGTGAATAAAAAAACGCAAAACGCAAACCAGTATAAACAGTCGGTTCTGCCATTGTATCACAGAACTGGCGACTCTGCTGGGGATTTACAAGTGGGGTATACATTAGGATCTAGGTAATTAAATTGCTTCTCTTGATTGTCTTGATTGCTTTACTTTTAAGGGTTTTTGTTTGGGTTACTATAGATCCTACACCCGGATCTGGGGGCACTTTTAGGTAAACAGCAATAGATCGTGGAGACTGTACGACATAGACCGATATGGTTTAAGCGATGGTTGTGTTAGTGTGACACTTTGGTTGGTACCGGTATCCTTCATGGGGAAACAAGGAGAATATAGGGCCGCCGCGTGGTGTCGTGAAGCACTAACGGACCTTAGAACCTTAGTTGAACAAACATGGCCATTAGAAAGTAGTGAGATAGCTGGCCTCGGTGCAGAGCTGGGGATTGGTTGATACTCGATGCTACACTCATTGAGATCAGACTTTCGGGATATTTCGGTCGCAAGAAAAGATTGCTTGAGCTGAGACAATGCCCGATAAAGGATGGTCAGTGATATTGAGATCCTCTAGAACTCGGTTACTTTTAAGACAAGTTTGAAACCAACTAATCTTCAAGAGGGTACTACCTTTAACCTCATGTAGGCCTTAAACTTAAGGACTTGGTGTGATTTGACTGTGTTTGCTATACCTGTGGTTTATCATGATATCATGCATCATAACATATCATCCATTCTTATTGCACTAACCATTTCAAAGACCAAGGGAAGTTATCTTTGTTCTGTTTTGCAGATTATGGCTTTCGTTCGTAGAAACACTATCTGAATCAGCTTTGTGAAGATACCTTCCCAACTCCAAGAGCTAGCATCAAGGGTTTCTAAACCTTCTGCGTTCATTAAAAGACATGGTCGACTTCTCAACCTGGTTACTTCAAACTTTGATGAAAAGATGACGAGTGTACTCTTTCAGTTCTTTGATCCCAAGCACCACTACTTCACCTTTCCAGACTATCAGTTGGTGCCTACCTTGGAAGAATTCTCTCAGCTATTGGATATACCCATACTTGAACAGTTGCCCTTTACAGGTCTAGAAGAAGTTCCTAAGCCAGAAGTCATTGCCTCAACTTTGCATTTGAAACGGGCCGACGTGGTATCCAATTGGGAAACAAGAAGCGGAGTCAAGGGTTTTCTAGCTAAGTTTCTGATAGACAAGGACCAGTTGTTTTGGGATGATATGAATTTTCAAGCTTTTCAGGTTAGTCCTATTCCTTAATCCGGACTCATTCATAGATGTGAACGCTATCAAGATCTTCCTCTCTCGCAATCCTGTGCCTACCTTGCTCGGAGATATCATGCACACTCTCCATACTCGCACCATGAAGAGAAGAGGGGTTCTTATGTGTTGTATGCCATTGCTGTCGAGGTGGTTTATTTCTTACCTCCCTAAGTCCATATTGAAGAATGAAGAAGGTTTGGGTTGGTCACAAAGGATAATGTCACTCTCTCACATGGATATTATGGAAAACACTTATATTATTGACCGCTGCCGGGAGTACCCTAATGTCCCATTACTTGGTATTAGAAGGGGTATAACATACAATCCTTGTTTAGCTCTACGACAATTTGGTCACGCTCGAAGAGATGGTCCCCATGAGTTACTTATTGAGGGCATTGTATTCAACTATGAGGATGATGTTCACGAGTATCGCCAGAAGTTCATACGAGCTTGGGGCATGGTAAACAAATCTGGCACCAAGGCTTTGGGGCCAAAAACTTCCATTCCTATGGAACCTTACCTCCAATGGGTACGAGCTCGTGCCCAGAAGGTTATGATGCCCTATGTGGCCGTTTTACCAGTGATTGTGGAACCCACAACTGAAGAGGGTATTCCTTACACGGTTCTCTATCCTTACATGCCCACTGATCTTGGAGAATTACAGAGGTCTTAGATTCAGTTGATGAAGGAGCGGCATACTTACAGGGATCAGTTCCATGCTCAGGAGAGGAAGGTTTTACAGCTCACAAAGCAACTGCATGAAGAAAGAGGACTCAATGACTATCTCGGCACAAAGAGGAAGCATCCATGGGAATTTTGATGTCTTTTATAGTTTTAGATTTGTTTTTTTTAATTGTAACACCTAAAAGGCATTTGAACTTTAAAATCAGCTAATAAATTTTTTGTTTATTTTGGTTTGCAAATTTAAATTTCCCGAAGTCTTTGAAATCATTGCATGCGCATCCCATTCATAACATTGCATGTACAGGTACCATTACATGTTTCTCATCTTCTTCGCTGTTAATTTCAGCATGAAATGTCTTATGAGCAAACCATCAAGGACCTTCAGGCACATAACGCCCAGTTCCAACAAATGTTCATAAGTCTGGCAAAAGGGCAGGAGGATCTGAAAGCCCTCATCTTGAAAGAGAAGCAGAAAAAGAAGAAGGTTGTCGGTATTCTGAATATGGGCAGAAGATTCAGAGGGCGGTTGAAGCGACAAGTCGATCTGACCTCTTCATCCAAGGAAGGGGAGAATCAAGAATAAGAGAAGGACCCCAGTCCTGCAGTTTATGAAAACGATATCGATTATAATGATGAGCAATATCCTCCTGCTGAGGATAAATACAAGAAATTGGAAGATCGTCT